CCTTACACGTCCGAGGGTACGAAGATGAAATCTATTTGAAAATACAAGTCAACACGAGACTTAACAGGGGTTTTCGCCATAGTCAACAAATCGTGAATAAAGACCGATTTCTTCTCGGAAAGGAGACGATGAGCTCCTGTTTTAAGAAACGACGGGATCGATTCGCTACCAGCTACGCACCGGTCTAGATGGATAATCCCATTCCCGGGTATCGCTTTTCTCATCTTTCACATCGGAAATGTTTTACTCGACTTTAAATGAAAATAAACGACACGTTAGAGAGGCACGAATGAACTGTTGGCGGTGCTCCGTTTCGGGAAGCGCTGTACTTCCAAGACATCACTGAGGTCGGACACCCCCCCTTCTTCCAGCTTCGGAAAACAGCCGAATAGTTCCGGAAGTCCCCGAACGGCGGCGGCGGCCGCTCTCGGCTGGCTCCGGCCGAGAAAGAGGTCTGCGAGGAGAGGAGTGAGTCAGCTTTCCAAATCTGTGCCGCCAGGCGCTGCGTGGCGAGTGGCGGTGGTGATTTCCTGCCCGGCCGGGAGATCGTGCGGACGCCTGCGTGGTGACATCGGTCTTCGTTTTAAAGAAAAGCAGAACCTGTACGCCCTCACTGGAAGATAGGCTGCGGACAGCGAGCACGGAACGGCGGAGAGAGCGCACCCAGCCCGGGGTGAGTGCAAACCGAGCCCCGGAGCCCGAGAGACGAGAGGGGATCTGCAGAGAGCACTCCCCTCCCCTCCTCAATTGAAAACATATGGAGTAAAACGCGTGGGGGGGGGGAGGAGGGGACAGGGGGCAGTGGGGGGCTACACAACTACTGTTTCCCCACCGGCTCTCCCTCCGCAGGTACGGTCAGACCTGAGCCGCCGGGGAAGCGAGCGGAGTTGCCCGTTACCTCTGGCTGACCGATCGCCGAGCTCCTCCGCTGTCGGAGGATCAGCAGGGAAAAGGGGTCGTTTGTAGACCGATCGGTGCCAGACGGGCTACGGTGGATGTGAGGCTGAGCGGTGCAGAGGTCTGCAGCTGTACCAGGGCACGCAAGGCTGTAAGGCAGCACTAGGTCTCCTCCTGCGTGAAAATCACTTTTAACAGCACCCAGGGATGACAGGAGGGTCCAGAAACCACATGGCTACTGTGGAATCACTCCAGAGAAGAGCAACTGGGGCTGAAGGGAGGGTCCC